CCGCCGCAGCCACGGGCAGAGCTGCGAGCGGCGGCGGCTCCCCCGCCTCTCGGCCCTCTTCTGAGGAACCATTATCCCTATTCCATCATTCCTAGCCTGAGGTGCTCTCCAGGAGGGGACGGGGCTCCACAGCGTTTTATCCAATCGCTTTGCCACCAGCTCCGTGTCACCGATGGTGGCACCAGAGACGTGGGCAATATCCAGGCAGACTTGACGCCCTTTTCCCTTAACTGCTGTGTTTACTCTCCTCCATTAGGTCCGATTATTTGAATCTTCATTATAATCTTTTAATAATATTTGTTAACAGCTGGTATCCTCTTAACAAAATGTATACATCAGAGCAGTGAATGAGTGCATGGAGCAGGCCTTAGTTCATGTGTTTGGTTATTTATGCAAGATAAACACATGTTAGTACCCTCAACACGAATCAATAAACCTTTTTTCTGTCTTTATTGCAAATGCCTTCTGAGCTACCAGTACCTAGATAAATTCTTTTCAATACTGCTCGACAAGTTGCACGTTGCAATTGAAAAGCATTGCTATGATACAAATTGTGTGACAACAATTCACATACTGGTCTCTGTTCATCTTGGTTGCGCTTGGGTTTCTTTTTTTCTTCTCTCCTTTGCTGTTTCTGCATGAAGCCCACTTCACTCAAAAATCCGTAATTCCCCTTTGAAGAGCTCCATCCTTGTGGCTGACAGTTAAACCTGAAAAGCAGGACTATGTGCACAGGCCCTTCTTAAGGATGCCTGGATACTGGCCTACCTAAAGCCTTGAAGGGTAAAGCTCTTGTTAGGTTGAGAACTTTTTGTTAGGAATCAGACTGGCAAAAGAGAACAGGACATATGTAGTGATGAGATTGTTATAAGCTCTTGCATTCTGAATTAATTACATTTATTTTGAAAGGCATTATGCTCTCTCACAGGTACTGTAAATGCTAGTAATACAGCCTGGAGGAGAGCTGCATGGCTCAATCAAAACCTTCGGCAAAAGGCTGTGCCCAATCTCAAGAATTATTCTGTGCTACCCCTGAAAGTGGCTGCCGAGGGAAGGCACCAGGAGCCTGGCAGATCACCATCACCCCTATTGTGTCCCTGCCTTCAACTGTGCAATTTACTTGTTACCTTGTAAGTTACACACAGGTAATTTATTTTCCTGTAGCCATCACCAGCACTGCTGGTACGATGTGGCAAGGCGTCAAAATCCCAGATAACCCATAATCAATGAAATATCTGGGAGACCGTGTTCTCACTGGGAATGGCTGAGAGGCAGAGTAGATTTAAGCAGTAACAGTATAAACTGTGTACTGCTGTCATTGGGTATGAAGGGATCTTGTAATTCCTTCAGTGACCCCATGTATATATTGAAAAAGAGAACCCCAGCTTTAAAACTCTCCACAGGTAAACACCTAGGAGGTAGAAAACCAGCACCCAGCATGTCCAGAGAAATACATGGAACCTGTCTGCTGCTTTGTCCTTCAGTAGTTTCTGTGACTCATCTATGGGGCAACATAGCAAAATAAATTTTTGAGAAGGGGAAGAAAATAGTCCGAATCCTTCTGAAAGCCAGTTTGCCATAACACAGAATAAAGCCGAGAGACCAGGAGAACAAATTTTAGGAATTAAATGGCAAGATGACATTGAGAAAAGCCAAGGGATGTAATCAACAAATAACAGCTATGTTTTCACCAACTAGTAAAACACCACAGCTAGAGAACAGCCCTACCTGGAGGTGCTGGCAGAAAGCACCAGGGGAAACATGGACTTTTCAGCTTCTCACCCAGCCCCACCAGCAAGGAGGCTGGGGGGCACAAGAAGCTGGGGGGACAGAGGCAGGACAGCTGACCCCAACGGGCCAAAGGGATCTTCTGCACCACACAGCAGCAAGCCCAGCATGTGAATGAGGGGAACGCTGGCTGGGGGCTGCTGCTCAGGGACTGGCTGGGCAATTGCAGTCTGCATCACTTGCTTTCTGTGTTCTTCTATTATTGTTATCTATATTATATATATATATATATATGTAATATCTACTATATTATATTATTATCTATTATCATCATATGCCCTATTGAACTGTACCTCAACCCACAAATTTTACTTTCCCCCCATCCCCTGTTAACTTCCCCCACCCACTGGGAAAGAGCAAGTGAGAGAGCAGCTGTGTGGGGTTAACCTGTCAGCTGCCTGACAGGTTAAACCACAACAGCAGCCCAAAACAGTGCAGTTATCCTAAAGAAGGTTAATTTATGCAGTATTTGTTTCATTCTTTGCTGCAGTTTTCAGTCAAGAGCAGAAGATGAGTTCTTCCCTCTGTGACAGTACTCACACCCAGCACCTGTACAGTTGTGCAGCAGACTTTCATCTCAGTTTACACTTATCCAAAATATTGGGAAGCAGTATTTCCCAATACTTGTAAGCAGTGTGCCATAAAGATATTTCTAAAGGCACAAAATATTCAGCATGCATTCTTATTCCTGTTACTGTTTTGAAGAGGCCAAAATGACAGGTACTGATCCATGTTTATTTTCATGCTGCATGCTATGGAGCCAAGTCACGACTTTGATTGCAGAAGGTACCTGTTACAATTATAGATAGCACTTCCCACATTATTGTCACACTGCAGAGATGACACTGCTCCACAGAGTAGCTGTGAGAATATAAAGCAAAGCGTTTATGTGCACTGCTCATCATCAGTTGTGTTGCTTTGCACGCAGCAGACGTGAGAGCTCGACATGTTAAGTCATGTACTCAGACCTACTCAAACACCGTGTACTTCTTACGTTCATTTGTTTAAACTGTAACAAATGTGTTACAACAGGATCTTACTCCTACACCTTATGGAAATAATGGAAAGAGCTAAAGCAGGATTATGAACTTGAAAATGACTTTGAAACTCGTTTTCAATTACAAAATAAACCAAACCCTCAAAACAAATCCCCAGCCCCAAATAACTTGAATTCAGATCCCCCAGACCCTCTTTGCAATTCACACCTCTCAGGCTCTGGGTTTCTTTCAGCTGTCACCTTCCTTTCTGCCTGCATACTTTGCCAAATGCTGTCCAGGCCACCTTTGAGCAACACATTTCATATGGGTTCATGTGGAACCTTTAACCTGGGGTTTCTTCAAATCCATGACACTCTCACTCTGGCCATAACACCTAATGTAATGGTGCCAACAGTGATATGAAAAATAGGAATGAAACTCCTCATCACCACAGAGGCTGTGAGCCTTCTACCAGCAGCATGTGCATCTGCCATTTAGTGGCCACAGTCCCTTCAGTGACTCCAAATGCCCTGGAGTCATATGTGACACGGCCCATCTCCCCATCTCCGTGTCTCCAGCTCCTCTCTGCCTGGAATTTTTATCAACCCACTGGCCCTGGGAGCTCAGCAGATACTGTTATGCTCACACGCCAGGCTGAAGTGCCACCCCAGGAGGAGCAGTCCCAATCCCACTGGCTTGGAGGCCCTCGGCACCCATCCAGAGTCCTGCCAAAATGAAGCCCAGGTATGGCAGCCGGCCCCTTATGTGCAAGCTGTTGGCTCTTTCTTAAAATACAGCATGTAGTAAATGCTGCAGATACAAACAAATCAATCCAAAGGCTGAAGCATATTGAATGCCCTCAAGGGCAGACTGATCAAACACACAGAGCTGCATGAACAAATCTGGAACCTGCTGAAAGCAGGGATGCAAACAAGTCAGGGAACTGTTCAACTGCTAACACCAAATTAAAAGCAGAGAAACAAGGGTCAAAGAGGTTTAGCTAAGCTGAGAGGCCCAAATCCCACTGTACAACTAATAAAACAGAATACTTAGGGAGTTTTTTGGTACTACTGACTGAAAACGTAAGAGTAGTACTGCTCACTGCTCATAATAATATATATGAAAAATGTTCTGTTACAATAATAGTAATACTAGTAAACCTCACAGAAAATGACTGTACTTCAAGCAGCTTCAAATATGCTATTGTCTTATTCCAAAATTAAATAAATGCAAAGCAGTACATGTAGAGGAGCAATCGACTGCCTGAAATTGTTTTTTTTAACCTACAGTTAATGTAAGCAATATTGAAGGTTGAAAGACTAAAGATTCTGGGAATCTAATCTAAACATTGGATTATGCCTCAGGATATTTCATTGCATTTCTCCTCTCTCTCCTGCAGAGTGAGTTTGTTTTGCTTGCTTATGTGGGTGTTGAACATCATCTGAAGAAAAAGACATTTAAAAAAATAGGACAAATATAATAGAATTTGCTTCACACAAAACCTGTAAGAGCCTAGTTAATATTCCAGAATATCTGTAGGGATTTAAGAAGGCAAACATTTTGAAATAGGGT